GTTGTTGTTGTTGTTGTAGTAGTTGTTATTAGTTGCGGTGGCAAAATCATGCGACTATTTCAGCTATATGGTAAACAAACACTCGAAGCGATCTTCGGCTCGCTAGCAAGTTCAGTTACCCCTTCTTCACGTCCTGAATGGCCTGTTCGGCAGTGACATAGTTGTTGGACTCCATGGTACGGTACATGTTCGATAGCTCCACCTGACGCCGGAAGTACATGTCCACCGAGGARCCTTTGACCGTCGCACAGGTGAGATTCTCCATGGTGTTGCGCAGACGCGCATCGTTGATGCCGCTCAGCTTTGTCTTGGGCCGCTCCAGCACGAGGAAGGCAGCCAAGTTGGCAGTGTAGGAGGCAACTATGATCATGGCAAAGCCGGCCCAGACCATGCCCAGCACCCGGGCCGAGAAACTGCGCGGTGTACCCTCGCCAATGCCGCTGTTGAGCAGCACGCCCCAGGCGAACCAAATGGCGGAGCTGAGATTCAGCGCCTTCTCCTCGTTGCTGTCCGAGTGCGAGAGCTTGAAGCGTCCAAACGGTGAGAATCTGAGTATTAGAGAATCATTTAGTTAGAACGAACGTATGCTCAATTTTCCAGCTGGCTAATCCATGGCTAAGTGATGTCTGGGGGGATATTGTACGAGAGGATGTTCGCTCTGATGCTCGCTGATCTTTAACCGTCAAATGCAACGAGCCCTTYGTCCAAGCCATCACTCAATCGGTATTAGGGTTTGTGTCTGGGACTCTAATTGCTTAGGTGAGGTGAACTCATAGATTACGCACCTGTCCAGTAGATAAAGCACGAGCGCCACAACATGAACCGACACCATTACCAAGATCCATAGCGTGTTACTAAATGGCTGCAAGAAAGACACAAGAGTACTCGATCGGGACGGTTTCTTCTCGAGTATTGTAATGCCTTGGTATTTGAATGGTTTCGAGAATTCTATATACTCGGCACGCTCCGGATTTATGGTTAGTGGTGCGACGATCATGCTAAAAATATAGAAATCACAAAGTAAATTCTGTCAAAGTTAAATGGTAGAAAAAGCTACACTCAGAGAAATAATAAATGAACTTTGTATAGGAAATATGTCTTCTTTAAGGAACCTTCATTTCCTACTCAATAATCCATTCTCTATAGGATGTAATTCTTGTTTCTACACATGTTTTTCTCTGAGCGTAGACGCTTGAGCTTACTCGGCACGTTCATTGACYAGCTCCCCAATCAGACCCGTCCACTCCTTGCGCAGCGTCATGGCGCCTGTGCTATTCTTTAAGATGTAGTGTCCGAATTGGCCATCCGGCGACAGGGCCAGGTCATAGGTAAAGTTGATGCGCTTG